AGCTTAAAGCCCGGAAGCCCCAAAGCCCTCTGATCTCCAAAGCCTCTTTAGCTCTTAAGCCCTATGGCCCACGAAGCCCTGGGCCCTCAACCCTCCTAAACCCTAAGCCCTAAGCCCTAAGCCCTAAGCCCTAAGCCCTAAGCCCTAAGCCCTAAGCCCTAAGCCCTAAGCCCTAAGCCCTAAGCCCTAAGCCCTAAGCCCTAATCCCTAAGCCCTAAGCCCTAAGCCCTAAGCCCTAAGCCCTAAGCCCTAAGCCCTAAGCCCTAAGCCCTAAGCCCTAAGCCCTAAGCCCTAAGCCCTAAGCCCTAAGCCCTAAGCCCTAAGCCCTAAGCCCTAAGCCCTAAGCCCTAAGCCCTAAGCCCTAAGCCCTAAGCCCTAAGCCCTAAGCCCTAAGCCCTAATCCCTAAGCCCTAAGCCCTAAAATCCCTAAGGCCCACAACCCAGACCTGAACGGCTGGGCAACAAGACTCCCAGGCCCGACTCGCCCCTGGGCCTTGGGCCGGGGCCCTCTCTTCGAAGCCTTTTGGGGGGTTTAGGGTTTAGGGTTTAGGGTTTAGGGTTTAGGGAGGGGTTAGGGGCTAGGGTTTAGGGTTCCGGGTTTCGGGTTTAGGGTTTAGGGTTTCGAGGAGGTTTCGGGGCTTTGGGGTCTAGGGTGTTCCGGTCTTGCTGTGCTTGCGGTTTATTTAGGGCGGTTTAGAGTCTTCTGATGGAGCAGACAGCAGCAAAGAACATGGGTTTCGTTCAGGGTTTCAAGGGTTTCTTTTCGGGTTTCAACCCAGCATCCCGGTTTCTGGGATGCAACATCTGCAGCAGGTACGTGCTAAGGGTTTTGTGGGTTTAAATGGTAGGGCTCAGGGTTTGGTATTGTAGCGATTCGACTTCGGAGGTCTCAGGCCTTCAGGTTGGGGATTCTTGGGTTTGAGGGCTTTCGGAAAATTCCACCACGGGCTATGAAAACACTGCCAAAGAACCACAAATTGAGGGATCAGAAAGGCCTTAAATTGAGCCCCATTCTCTTGTTTTTTCTTCTTTGTTTTGGCAGAAGTCCCTTTTGAGTCGCTGGAACCCCTCCACCCCCTTCCGCTGCATCCAGGCCACCTGTGGCTAGCGACCTGCCTGCAGACGGTTGGGTGAAGCACCTAGGCCGGGCCCCTTCCAGGGGGGGGCTTTACAAGGCGTTGAAGGTGTAGGTTCGGACCCCTCCTCCAAGGGGCTTTTAAGGCTTTTAAGGTGTAGGCCCGGACCCTTCCAGGGGCTTTAAAGGCTTTTAGGGTGTAGGCAAGCGTGGGTGGTTTCCCAGGACGCGAGTGATTCTCAGGGGTTTCTAAGGAGTTCTTCAAGGGCGCAAGAAAGGGTGGAGGTGGTTTGGGAGACTCGTTTCGCGCCTGCTTTTTTTGAATGTTCAGCAGCGGTTCAGGCTGCCCGAAGCAAAGCGCTCATGTAGGGCCTCGAATAGTTCAAGCTGGAAGCCAACTGACGACAAGACAAGCCCCAAACCCCAAACCCCAAACCCCAAACCCCAAAACCCCAAAACCCCCAAACCCTTAAAACCCTTAAAACCCTTAAAACCCTTAAAACCCTTAAAACCCTTAAAACCCTTAAAACCCTTAAAACCCTTAAAACCCTTAAAACCCTTAAAACCCTTAAAACCCTTAAAACCCTTAAAACCCTTAAAACCCTTAAAACCCTTAAAACCCTTAAATCCCTTAAAACCCTTAAAACCCTTAAAACCCTTAAAACCCTTAAAACCCTTAAAACCCTTAAAACCCTTAAAACCCTTAAAACCCTTAAAACCCTTAAAACCCTTAAAACCCTTAAAACCCTAAAAACCCTTAAAACCCTTAAAACCCTTAAAACCCTTAAAACCCTTAAAACCCTTAAAACCCTTAAAACCCTTAAAACCCTTAAAACCCTTAAAACCCTTAAAACCCTTAAGACCCTTAAAACCCTTAAAACCCTTAAAACCCTTAAAAACCCTTAAAAACCCTTAAAAACCCTTAAAACCCTTAAAACCCTTAAAACCCTTAAAACCCTTAAAGCCCTCAGCCCTCTCCAACCCCAAACCCCAAACCCCAAACCCCAAACCCCAAACCCCAAACCCCAAACCCCAAACCCCAAACCCCAAACCCCAAACCCCAAACCCCAAACCCTCAACCCCAACCCTGAAAACCCTTAACCCTGAAAACCCTTAACCCTGAAAACCCTTAACCCTGAAAACCCTTAATCCTGAAAACCCTTAACCCTGAAAACCCTTAAAACCCTGAAAACCCTTAAAACCCTTAAAGCCCTCAGCCCGATCCAACCCCAAACCCGTGCCAGGCCCTGATGGCCGGGAGTTCTGGCACCACCTGTCCTTGGGGCCGGGGAGCCTCAGAAAGTCCTTGGGTTCAGGACGTTGAGCCCTGAGTCCCTTCAACCCTCAAGTTTTGGGTTTGGGGTTTAGGGTTTTTTGGGGTTTTAGGGTTATAAAACACCCCGGACTAACAGTGATGGTACTTATTGACCAAGTGTAACTGTACTTATAGCTCACTGATCAGCCCCTTAAGTGCCCTAATGTGGTTGTTTGCTACTATTTGCTTAAGAACCCCCAAATGATAATCCCTATGTTACCCTTATAAGGAAGTTTTTTTTTTGTGTGGGGGGGGGGGAGTTCTTAAGCAATTGGTAGTTTAGGGTTTCAGGGCTTTGGCTTTTGATGTTTCAGGGGCTCGACTCCTGGCACCCTGCTCCACCCTAAAACCCTAAACCCTAAGTTATGAACCCTAAGTCCTAAACCCCAACCCTAAACCGCAGCTCTGCAACAGGGGAGCGGGAGCCATGAACTTTGAGAACCCTGTGAGCTTTTGCTTAAACCCTCAACGCTTCTGATCTTATCCCCCCCAGATTTGTTTTGACAGCCCTGAAATCCCCAAACCTCAAACTGGAAACCCTAAAGCCGAAACCCTAATCCCTAAACCCTACACCAAACTACTCCCTTTCCCAGGCCCCCGCCCTGGGATCGGCCCGGCTTCCGGGCGTTGTGCCGCACTTGGGTTTGGGGGGCTTGGGGGGTTTCGGGGTTTAGGGGTTTCGGGGGTTTCGGGGGTTCAGGGGGTTTCGGGGGTTTCGGGGTTTAGGGCTTCGGGGTTAGGTTTAGGGTTATAGTGGTCAACATGCCGTGCAGAGACTCCAACATCACCTTAATGAGGGTATGTGTAGGGTATGTGTCCTTAACATCATAGATTTGGATCCCCTGCCACAATTCTCAAAAATGTGCCGTAATTCGGGGTTTCAGGGTTTAAGCACCCATGTGGGTGAGGAGACGGCGTAGCCGCCTGAACCGGTTTCTTTTTGAGGTGACTGAATACTGTAAGGGAGAACAAGAACTTGAAAATCTTAAGTCCGAAGCCCTACACCCGGAAGGTAGGTCTAGGCTTCTTGAGTTCGGGTTTCAGGGTCCAGGAGTCTACTTGGAGGTTCATGGGTACTTATTACTCCAATTCTACTTCTAACCTACTTAGAGGCTTGGGGGGCTTATAGGTGCAGTTCTAACTGGAGTTATAAGTACGCATGAACCTCCAAGTAGGGTTCGAGTGTAGAGTTTAGGGTTTGAGCCATAGGCATAGGGAACTCCAAAACCTTTAAAACGTACACCCGGAAACTCCTCAGCCCCTAAAGCGTGCACCCATGAACCCCTAAACCCGAACCGCTCCCCCCTCGCCACGTACAGCACGTCGCTCGAGCCGTCTTCAGGCCTGATCGGCCAGTCTCCATCAACGGCTGTGCCTGGGCGGGTTAGGGTTTGGGGTTTGGGGTTTACGGCTCTTTTCGGCTTTTGGGAGTATAGCCCTAAACCCTCAACCCCAAACCCCAAACCCTTAACCCTAAACCCTAAACCCGAAGCCAATCTTAGTCGGGTGTTTGTTCGAAGGGCCTCTCTCACAAGACGGCCGGGCACAGCTTCGAGGGCCTTCTTGGGGGGGCTTAGGGTTTAGGGTTTAGGGGTTTGGGGTTTAGGGTTTAGGATTTAGGATTTAGGGTTTAGGGTTTAGGGTTTAGGAATCCTGCCCCATGGCTTCATGAAGGTGGCTTCAAGCCTGCCCCAGATTCGAAGCCCTCAAACCCTGAGCCCAAACCCTCCCGTCTCCCCCCCCCCCCCCCCCCCCGAAAAAAGAATGACGTGACCCCTCAAGCCGTAAACCCGAAACCCGAAACCCGAAACCCGAAACCCTAAACCCTAAACCCTAAACCCTAAACCCTAAACCCTAAACCCTAAACCCTAAACCCTAAACCCTAAACCCCCTCAAGGCACACCCTCAGTCCCCAAACTCCTTGAAACTCAACAGCCCGAAGCCCTCGAAGGGCTAACAACCCCCCAAAACCCTTTAAGAAGCCGCCACGCCCTTGAAGCCCTGTAAGCCCTAAACCCCAAACCCTAAACCCTATATACACACTATCCCTAAGCCCTAAACCCCTGAGCCCCGAAAGCTAGGGCCTGAACCCCCCTAAAAAAGCGCATACGCAAGGTGTTGCCGGCACCGAGGAGGACCGGTTCTCCGCACCCTTTAAACGCTGGGTTTAGGTTTTAGAGGTTTAGGGGTGTCGGGGTTTAGGGGTTTGGGGTCTGGAAGGGTTTCGGGTTTAGGGTTTTAGGGTTTAAGGGTTTAGGGTTTGGGGGTTTTGGGATTTGGGTGTTGGTCAGCGTTTATAGGGCTCTGGGGCCTAGGCTAGGTTCGGGCTGTTTAGGGTTCAGGGCTTTCCCGCTGGAGCCGGTTTGGGCTACCTGAAACCAAGTATAGCAGTATAGCGTTCCGGGAGTCTTGGGTTTAAGGTTTAGGGTTTAGGGTTTAGGGTTTAGGGTTTAGGGTTTAGGGTTTAGGGTTTTATGGTTCATATACCTGAATGGAATTTTATAGTAGCCTAGGGTAGGAGGATGCCCAGACCCTCCGTTGCTTGGAGGACAGCGTGCTCCGTTTGCCCTCGAAGGAGCGGTTCAAGGACCTTTTCGCCCGGACTTGAGATCCCCCAAGCCTTTGATGCTAAGACCTCCCTAGGAAAGACTCTTCTGTGTTATAAGCATGTATAACTTTATCAACAGTTTTCAGGTCTATTTTTTAGAATCAGAAGCATTCGAGGTACTGGAAGCATTCGAGGTACTGTAGTACGCGCGTGAGAAGGCAGTATATAAGAAGTGTGCACCTTTCCAGGACGTTCCAGGTTACGGTCCGGAGGTGTGTTTAGGGTTTAGGAGGGTTTGGATTTAGGGGTGTAGCTTCAGGTTCAGGGTTCACGGTTCAGGCGTGGGGTTTGGGGCCAGAGTTAGTCCCTGATTCAGCGATCATGATCCAGATGTCGCAGAGAACATAGAGAAGTCCTGAAGAAGGAGCAGGGTTGCGCTAGATCATAAAAGCATAAGGAAAATACTTTGTTAGAGGCTTTTTCAAAGAGACCCCCATTTCGTAGGGCTTGGGGCTTGCGAGGAGTTTCGAATTGCAGGCCAGCGACCCTGATTCCCAGTCACACCCTCATCCAAAGTTTAACCCCCCCGGGCCGACTTGTCCTGAGCCCTAAATTTGCGGAACTTAAGCAAACCCGATGATGAAGTGCGCATAAGTGCGCCTCATGCCCAAAACCTGAACCCTTGACCCGAAACCCTGAACCCTAAACCCTAAACCCTAAACCTTAAACCCTAAACCCTAAACCCTAAACCCTAGCCCCTGCCGCGCTGGAGGAGGGGACGCAGATCTTCAACCTGGATTTAAACAAGGGGCAGGAGGCGCACGTATGAACCCTAAACCCTGAACCCTAAATCCTAAACCCTAAACCTTAAACCCTAAACCCTAAACCCTAAACCCTAAACCCTAAACCTTAAACCCTAAACCCTAACTACTAAACCCTGAACCCTAAACCCTGGGGTTCAGGGACTCAATTCCACGCTTTGAGGGCTCTCGGGTTTAGGGCTGGAGCCCCAAAGTGGGAGGCTTAGGGTTTAGGGCTCCGAGAATTCAGGGCTTAGGATGATGAAAGCATTTTGCTTTTTGGTGAGGGTTCTTGGGGTAAAGAAACCCCTTGAGTCTCCCGAACAAAACTCACCCTTGGATCAGGGCTTCAAAATTCGTTGGGGTTGTGGGTTGTGGGTTGTGGGTTGTGGGTTGTGGGTTGAGGGTTAGGGATGTAGGGTTGAAAGCCTCAAGACCTAAACCCGTATCCCTAAACTCCACATACGCCGCAGGGGCCTGGCACCACCTCCCAGCAGGCTGGAAAGTCCACGCCTGAACCCTAAAGCCCATAAACGCCCCCACGCTCTGCAGACTCCGGTTTGGGGGTTTCAGGTTTGGGGTTTAGGGTTAAGGGTTTAGGGTTCAGGAACCCTAACCATGTCCTTTGTGATGGGCATGCTTTCCAGCCGGACCGAAGTCGGCGGGTTTTGGGCGTAGGGTTGAGGATGGTTGGAGGATGTGATACGTTGGCTTGCTATTAAAGACCATAGCAGGATCTACTTGGTATCAATCTGAACATTGTTGGTTTCCGAACGGCCAATTCTAGAAGAGGTATACCAAATCCCAGTTTCGGGCTGTACGTGCAGGTTTCGTGACGAATTGAGTTCTCGACCAACACCCTAGGGCCTTAAAGCCCTAAATTTCCCAAAACCCCTATGTCAACTAGCCCGGCCGGCCTCTTGAAGAAGAGAGGCCCGCTAAGTTCCCAAAAGCCTCGAAGCCCAAATCCTGAACCCTGAGCCCTAAACCCTAAACCCTAAACCCTAAACCCTAAACCCTAAACCCTAAACCCTAAACCCTAAACCCTAAACCCTAAACCCTAAACCCTAAACCCTAAACCCTAAACCCTAAACCCTAAACCCTAAACCCTAAACCCTAAACCTAACCCTAAACCCTAAACCCTAAACCCTAAACCCTAAACCCTAAACCCTAAACCCTAAACCCTAAACCCTAAACCCTAAACCCTAAACCCTGAAACCTAACTCCTTGGATTTCTCCTCAGTTTCATAGCTGCTGGACCTCCAAACCCATGGCCTTTGAATCAAGGCTAGCCCTAAACCCTAAACCCTAAACCCTAAACCCTGAACCCTAAACCCTAAACCCTGAACCCTGAACCCTAAACCCTAAACCCCAAACCCCAAACCCCAAACCCTAAACCCCAAAAACATGTCACCGCAGCTCCCAAGCCGTGGTGTCCGGAGAGGTGGCGGCAGTTCGCGGCATGTCTTCTCAAGGCTTGGGCGAGGTCTGGTCCCAAGAAAGTGCTGAGGGTTTTGGAAGTTTAGGGTTTAGGGTTTAGGGTCTAGGGTTTATGTTTAGGGTGTCGGGTTTAGGAGATTCAGAGTGTGGGGGGGGGGGGGGGGGGGGGAGGTTTAGGAGGTTTAGATTGATGTGGAGAATCTTGGGTTCTTGGGTTTTTGAAGGTTGGGGTTTGAGTGCTAACGGCAGTTTTTTTGGGGGGAGAAGGCTGAGGGTTTTTGAGGGTTCAGGGTTTGCAGGATTTTCGGATGCAAGCTGGGGCTCAAGCCCCAACCCCTCAAACCCCTTGATCTAAACTTGGCCCTTGTTTCGGGTAGGGTTCACCGAAATTTGATCGGGCAATGACCCTTAAGGTAAGGTACAACATCTCTGTGTTCAAGGGTTGAGGGTTTCAGTATTTAGGGTACCAGGTTTAAAGCTTACGCTTTAGGGTTAAGCCCTAAACCCTAAACCCTAAACCCTAGCGTTCAGCTTGATGCTGCTTCCCTTCTTGCCGCATGTCGCTTCAACCTGAGTGTCTACATTGCCGGGCCATCTGTAGTATCTTCATAAACCCCCAGCCCCACATTCTTTGTACCAGCAAGGGTACTGTAGGTGAAAGCTCCTGATCCTGAACCGTAGGCCGGGTATAGGAGGTTGAAGGTTTCAGTGCAAAGGAGAGCCACAAAGGGAACTCCGGAGAAGACGGTTTCACAGGCGTCCAATGAAACACCTGATCCAACGATGGCTGGAAATGTGGTGACCTGGGAAGACGTTGTGGAGCAGGAAAGTGTTGAAGACAGCTATGTGGTGCTGGTGAAAGAGCAGATTGTGAAGAAAGTTGACGAAGCCTTGACAGAGGCTTTGGAGGCTCTTCAACAGAATCCGCAGAAGAATTTTCGCGGATGGCCTTGTCGAAAGCTCCGAGGCGCTGCGAAACACAGCGAAAGGGGTCAAGCTATTCTGGAAGGCTACTGGCACAGTCTGCCCTGTCGACCTTGTTATTGCATTGGAACCCGCGCCCGCTTGCAGTGGCCGCCTCTTGTCTTCGTCTCACACTTTCCTCTTCGGGCCAACAATACAGGATGAATGCTGCCAATTCATCATGAGACAGCCTCAGGTGGTGAAAGATTGTGTCAAGCTCATGAAGTTGTATGCTGTATATGAGCAGCGTATGGGCAATAACATTTCACCTGGCGGGCATCAATTCCGCTTTCCCCCTGGAGCTGCTCTTGAAATCATGGTTGTCTGGCTGTACGAGCAGCGACCTGCTTCCAGCCTGCAGGAGTTGTTCGCTTCCGTTTTGGACTTTGGAGGCAGTTTGGATCTGACAAAAAGAACCGATATCTCAGTCAATCTAGATGTTGACCTTGGCAGCTCGACTGCGACAGAGGATGGCGATTGCGTAGGCACAGCTCTCATAGACAAGCCCGTGCCAGTTCAGGTGCTGCAGCCTGCCACGAGGCAGAATCTGACTCACAAGCTTGATGCCGACCATTGGAAGTACTTCAAAGATGCTTCTGCCCGTGGAAGGCACCAGTTCGAATCCTTGGGGCGCCTACTGCGGCTCACAACCCCGCTGGGCCGCCGCCCGCTGCAAGAATGTGAGAATTGGTTAGCCTCATTTGATGCGAAGGTGTGTGACATCCCACCGATGTTTGCAGTCAACACCGTTACCATGTTGGCACCTGACGCTTCCATTGATGACCGGACACGCCCCTCACGTTGGGGTTCGGTGGCCTCTTACTTGCACGTTCCCCTTCTGTGGGCAGCTGAACGAGAAGTTCTCGGCAAAGGCTTTATACATGGTCAGTTGCACAATGAAGCATCGAATCACTTCTGGAAGTCTTCAACTGAATATTGGTTTGTAGAAGGCTTGGAGCCCATTGACGGCAGACCAGCTGTGTCCAAACTCAGCATCACGGGGCCATTGGCTGACTCGGCGGAAGCAGCGTACAAGATGCTTGTCCACGATGCTCACCAACGTTGCCAGGCAGCGGGCTTCAGTCCGGTCCGTCCGAATGTCGCGCGGGCGGTGAGTCTCCTATTCCACGAGGAGGCATGGAAGCAGGTTCGGGAAAAGTATGATGCAAAGGACGTGAACCTGCAGCATCCTTCTCAACTCCTTTGGAAGAAACAGCTGGAAGCGCATCGTCTCGATCAGTTGATGGATGTTTTCAAAGTGCAGGTTGATCTCCATGAGCCACCCCGGAGAAGTGGAAAGCTGTGGCAGAACGAGGCATCAAAGGTCCATCGAATGTGCCAAGCCTTGGCAATCTTTGTCGACTTGTCAGATGATGCTGTGCTGGTGGTGGTTGGGCCTTGCACATTTTCATCCCAAGGCGCCAAGAATTGGGCCTTTTGTTGGATGCTGGAGGCATTGTTCGAGGTCGGCCAAGCACCAATTCCTGAGACCATTCTTCGTCGGAAGGGGTTAGCTGCGAATGACCCAACGATCGTGCCAATATCCCAGAATCTGCCCAAGTGGTGCATGAAATGCCCATTTCCTGCAGCCCTACGAGGTGAGCCGCTGTAAGCTCGAAGTTGTGAGCTGTAAGCTGTTAGCCACGCAGTCAATGAGTGGCCACATGCGTGGCCGGTCGATGCGGACCTGGTTCTTGGTTGCATGGCTCTCTTGATTCTTCAAAGATTGGGTTTTTGCCTCTGCGCATTCCTGTGCCCACGGGAATGGAAACCTACCTATGTAGTGAGCAGGTATGATATCTATGTTTCTCATCCCTACATCCTAAAGCTTAACTCCAGAAACCCTGCAAGCCGTCGTACTGCAAGCTGCCACACTCTGAACCTCAAACCCTAAACCCCAAACCCTAACCCTAAAACCGCAAAATCTCTGTCTCTCTCTGTCTCTCTCCGTCTCTCTCTGTCTCTCTCTGTCTCTCTCTGTCTCTCTCTGTCTCTCTCTGTCTTTCTCTGTCTCTCTCTCTCTCTCTTTCTCTCTCTCTCTCTCTCTCTCTCTCTCTCTCTGCGCAAGGTCGCGGCCAGCCGGGCCGTCTCTTCCCAAGGGCTGCCGACCCCACAAGAGGTGGGGGGTGTAGGGATTTAAGGTTTACTATGGGGGCCTTCCTCTTTTTTCAATAGGATTCCGGGGGTTACTCTACCATAAGTATATAGGAACCCTGCGGGAATGCTGTTTGTAAATATTCCGACCTCTGTATTGGGTGCTTTTGGGGCTTCGGGTCTGGTTGCCCGGCTTGGGGTTTGAGGGCGGCGTAACGTAGGGTTGTCAGTGGGGCAGCTGTGGTTGCAACCTAAATTAGAAGTCATCGCCGATTTTAACCCAAGTAAACTGCCCAACTTGTCGCGTAGTGGGTTGGCTGCCCTGAACTTGAGGAAGGGCAGGGTATCTTTCTTGGCCAAATGGGTGTCTTTCTTTGCCAAACTCCGAACTCAAACACGAAAACCCCAAATTCCCAAATGCAAATAGGGTTCATGGTTCAGGGTGTAGGGGTGAGGGTTTCCCTAAACCCTAAACCCTAAACCCTAAACCCTAAACCCTAAATTACTAAACCCTAAACCCTAAACCCTAAACCCAAAAGTTTCGAGGCCTTTAGAGGGCTTTAAGGGTTAAGCCCGAAGCCTGAGCCATCCCGAAAAACCAGCCTCGATGTGTGTGAACTCCGTCGCCCGAAACCCTCGAAGCCCTCCAGGCCCAAATCCTAAACCCGAAATCCTGAACCCTAAACCCTAAACCCTAAACCCTAAACCCTGAACCCTAAACCCTAAACCCTAAACCCTAAACCCTAAACCCTAACCCCAAACCCCAAACCCAAGACTCAAGACACTAAATCCTGAACCCTATGCCTTAAACTCCAAACCCTCAACCCCAACCCCAGAACCCCTAAGCCCTAAACACCAAACCCTCAACCCCAGACCCTAAACCCGAAACCTCAAACCCAAAACCCTCAACCCCTAAACCCTAAACCCTAAACCCCAAACCCTAAACCCCAAACCCTAAACCCCAAACCCCAAACCTTGAACCCTGAGCCCCAAACCCAAACAAAAGGTGGCCGCGGCGCGGGCCGCGTCCTCCCAGGGTGTGGCCGAGGTGGCCTGGAGAGGAAGTGGCTTAACAATGGCTGAATTAAAGTAGGGTTTAGGGTTTAGGTTTCAGGGTTTAGGGTTTAGGTTTCAGGGTTCAGGTTTTGGGGTCAGGGTGTAGGGTTTGGGGCTTAGGGTTCTGTTCTGCGCATTCAAACCCGACACCCTACCTTCCCTTCCCACTCCTCACCAACATCAAATATTCCTGTAGCCTACATCCTGAATCATGAATTCCGAAACCCTACACCCAAAACCCTAAACCCTCAACCCTAAACCCTCAACTCATATGCGCAATTGGGGGGGGGGGGTGGGGAAGTGTCGGGCTCAGGAATTGTGGTTCAAGGTTTTCCGGCTGAGAGGGTTTGGGCTTTAAGGTCTTAGGGTGCAGGGTTTAGGGTTTAGGGTGTTGGCTCGTAGCTCTGCTAGCACATAAAACGAGAAACCGAAAGCCTAAGTTTACAGAAGTTTAGGTTCTGGAGCCCTCACCATGGGATTGTTCACGAAACCCCCAAGCCCCAAACCCCTAAGCCCCCCAAAACCCAAAACCTCCAAACCTCTAAAACCTAAGCCCTACCCCAGCTCCGTAATTCTTGGTGGGGGGCGCGGGTAGAATGCTGCAAAAACTACCCGGGTTGTGCCATGGTGGGTGCTACCGTCCTCCGAGCGTGGGGGTGACCTGCGTCCGACTACCCTAAACCCCAAGCCCCAAACCCCAAACCCTAAACCCGAAACCCTGAACCCTGAACCCTGAACCCTAAACCCCTAAAGCCCTAAACCCCTAACCCCTAAACCCTAAACCCTAAACCCTAAACCCTAAACCCCAAACCCTTCAGAGCTCTCAGCCACGCCCCATCGCCGGAGGCCGCCGGCCGGGTGCTCTCCTCTCAGGGCCTTCCCGGCCCCCACGAGGCTCCGGGGACTTGGGGTTTAGGGTTTAGGGGTTTAGGGGTTTAGGGGTTTAGGGGCTTAGGGGCTTAGGGGTTTAGGGGTTTAGGGGTTTAGGGGTTTAGGGTTTCAGATTTAGGGTTTAGGGCTTCGGGTTTCGTGTTTGGGGTTTGGGGAAAGGGCTTCGGTTTTTCGGGTTTGGGGTTTGGGGTTTAGGGTCGGGTTTGGAGATGAATTAGGGTTTGGGGGTTATCAGAGGCTTGGGGTTATAGATTTTAGGGCTTTAGGTGCCTGCCCTCCGAAGGGCTCTCCTGGGTCAGGCCCTCTACTTACTCTTTGTTGGGTTGAGGGTTGAGTACCAAACTTTGGAGATATGTTGGGATGTTCCCCCTTATACTAGCAGGCCTTTATAGGGATTAATAGTACCCCTGATGAAAATCCCTGTGAAGGACTGTTAGTATAAGGGAGGACATCCCAAGAAACATGTATAGCATATCAGGTCTGGCTGGAGTAGGGTTTGGGGGAAGTAGGGTTTAGGGTCTAGGGTGGTTGTGTCATGAAATCGAGCTATCGCGCAGCCGCGTCTGCTCACAAACCCTTGCAACCATGGCTTTCATGCAAAGGCGCCTTCCTCCCTTGCAGGGGGTGTTCCTCAACCTCGGTGCCAAGCCCAATGCCTCCCACAGCACTCTCCGCCGCTGCCGCAGTTTCTCCGGCTACGCGCCCCTGGAGCCTGGCGAGGTCAATTACGAGCTTGGCTTCAAACCCTGCGTCGGACCGGTCCCCCAAGCTTCCGGCGCAGTGCTTGGAGACCAGCAGGGGCCAGAAGCTTAGCTGCTGATTTGGTAACCCTCCTTGAGTTATGGACAACTTCCGTGAAACCCAGAGGTCATACTTACCCCGGTAAGCTCAGCTAGTATTTGTTTTTCAAACACTAGTCCAATCTTTGCAGAATGAAAATGAAAAACAAAAACATAAAGTCAACTATGAGGAAAGCACCCCAGAAGACCTACCTTGGCCGGACACCGACGACGAGGAAGCAGTGGCTTGGGTTCTGGCGCAATCCGACACCGTGGCTCCGCCGGTGGAAGATGCTGTTGGCAGATCTTGGCTCAATTAGTTGGTTTCGGGTTTCGGGTTTAGGGTTTAGGGTTTAGGGCTTAGGGCTTAGGGTTTAGGGTTTAGGGTTCAGGCTTTAGAGTCTAGGATTTTGTGCATAAGCCCACCGGGAATCCTTCAACGCAACCGCACCCCTGGTGGTTCTCATCGTGGGGAGAAGCAGGAGACCCTAAACCCTAAACCCTAAGCCCTAAACCCTAAACCCTAAACCCTAAAGCCTAAACACTAAACCCGCCCCGCACCCACCAAGGTATCGACAGCTTGCTCCTCGCACCGCTGGCTCCGTCGCCGACCACAACCAAGGACCCTCGGATCAGTTCCTCGGGTTTAGGGTTTAGGGTTTAGGGTTTAGGGTGAGGGATGGGGGCCCTAAACCCTGAACCGTATGCCGTAAATCCAAAAAAACCTGGGGATGTTCCCCCTTGCGCTAACAGTCCTCAATAGGGATTAATAATAGGGGGTACTATCATCCCTATGAAGGACTGTTAATGTAAGGGGCAACATCCCAGCCTAGACCCAAAAACCCAACTCAGAGTTTTCCGAAATCGCCACGATCGGGATCCAGGATGAGACAGGCGACATGCCGCAGAGTGACATGGTGGAGCAGTTGAACCTCTCCGGCTTTGCGAACAGGGGCTACACCTGTGTGAGTTTCGTCAACACCAGCACTGTGCAAGTGTTTCAGAACGCATGCCGCGGTGGCATGCTCAACGCCCCGGCTGGGGCCTCGCAGCAAGTGGACATCGTACACTCGCATGTGCAGGGCGTGCAGATGGCCAAGGAGAAGTGGTTCGGAGGCTACCTGCACCCAAACCAAAGTCCGACGGCGTCGCCACAGGTCTCTGCCTTGATGGCAACAGAGCCAGCAGACCGCACGAAATCCCAGCCAGCACTGCCAAGCACGGTTGACCAAGTGGTGAAAGCCCAGCGTGCGGGCACCGCGGCCTTAAAGAAGGCAAGAGCCATGATGCCTGCTGTGGATCTTCAACCGACGGTTCCGCATGTCCGCCCTCGACGCCGACTGCCTAAGAACCCATCACGTACTGTTGGTCAGTAGGGAAGGGGGGAGCCCTACATCATGCCTTAAAGGGTATATATATATATATGCACATATATGTATATATATATATACACACATAAAATAGGGGGAATATATAGGGTGTCTCGTTCCCGCATTTCCCCTACTAACCCCCAGTAAGGGGGCTCAGGGAGAGACTCCCAGGGCTCCCCGTAAAGCTTGTCATGTATCCAACCGTTCGACATGCGGAGGCGGCGTTCCCAGTCATTGCCGCCCCGTTGGGAGATCGTGGGTGCTGATACCCGGGTCTCTCCCTAAGTTGAGGGTTGATCAATTTAATAAGCCTTTATGGGGGTTTACCCCTAATATAAATAGTAGTATTCCCTGATCATAAGGACCTCAAATATAGACCCCAAATAGTAGTATTCCCTTATCATGAGGACCCCAATGAAGGTACCCCCCCCTTAATATCGTAAAAACCCTAAACCCTAAACCCTAAACCCTAAACCCTAAACCCTAAACCCTAAACCCTAAACCCTAAACCCTAAACCCTAAACCCTAAACCCTAAACCCTAAACCCTAAACCCCGAATCAAAGGTGCACCAGGCTTGGGTGTTGTGGATCCACGTGGTGTCAGCAGAAAGCCCACTTGAAGGTTCATGGTACTTATTAAGGGTTAAGGGTTTAGGGTTTGGGGTTTGGGGTTTGGGGTTTAGGGTTTAGGGTTTGTACTTATGACCCGAATTATAACCCCATTGGGGCAGTCAAGGGGCTTAGAAGTGGCTTATAAGTACAGCTTTCATTGGTTCATAAGTACCCTGACCCTCCAAGCAGCTGAATTCAATATGCCCATTCCGCCTGCGGGCCATGTTGTTGCATGAATAAGTGCAAGGACCTTTCAGATCACGTGGCGGTTTACGAAAAAATAGGGGTACCTTCTTGGGGCCCCTTATTTCTAAGGATTCTAAGGGGATCCTACTATTTGGGAGGGGGGCTATACTAGGGGCCCCTTGTTTTCGTAAACTCCCACATCGGTGTGACCACAGGTGATCTCAGAAAGGCATATGGGTGGTTGTCAAAATTATGGTCCCTTTTGGGGTAATTATAATAGGGATCCAAAAAGGGACCAGAATTTTGACAGCCAACCTAAATGCAACTTCAAAGGAGTTGGCAGTTCGCACCCGACGGCACATTGCACAGTGCAGGCCCTCGCGGCTGCTCGTTGCCGTCTGATGAAGGGGCTCTGGCGTGTCAAGAACAGGAAACCCTAAACCCTAAACCCTAAACCCTAAACCCTAAACCCTAAACGCTAAACAGGTTTTGTCGTCAAAGCCCCTTTCAAGACAACAAGGGCCCCCTTTTGCTTCCGATCCGTCCTTCCCAGGAGTCCTTGGAACTGGGATGCCCAGTGCAACCTTGAGGGCTTAGAGTTCAGGGTTTAGGGTTCAGGGTTTAGGGTTTAGGGTTTGGGGTTTAGGGTTTAGGGTTTAGGGTTTAGCGGGTTCCATCAACAACACGGCACCCCACGTTCGTCTTGCTGGGCAACCTAGTGGATGTGCCTCTGGGATTGGAGGGGGGCGGGGGCATGCCTTCTAGCAACATCCAGCAACTATCCTGGAGTCAGGCGTGTCCTGGGGTAGATTTCGACATAGCATGAAGTTCTGCATCTCCATATGGGTATTTCCTAAAGTAGGGGTACCCTGTTTACACCCCAACTACAACGTAATCCCTCAAAGGGACCCCAAAAAGGGTACCCCTTTTTTCGGAAACCCCCTTGATACTAAGTCCACCCCAGAATCTGGCAAAATCGCCCGCGGGAGCGTCGGCAGCTAATCCGTCTGTTGGGTCGCCCCGCGAACATCTAAGTCAAGTGGGTGGGGAGCGGTCGCCTTCGCGGGGCCGTAGGGTTTGGGTTGAAAGTCTACTCTAAGTGTTAGGCTTTTGGGTTTTTGGATTTTGTGGTTCTTTGGTCCAGGGGACTATGGTTGAGGTCGGATATTCGGGTGCTGGTAGGTTTTTCGGCGGTGCGAAGTGCTGCCCTCCTCACGTGACTATTCAAAGGCGTGGCATCTGAAAGATCCCAGATTGTACTTATATTTCGTGGTGGCAGCACCCAAGTTTGCAGCAAGTCTGAGGCAAACAGCCACCCAGGACCCGGGTTTGGGCTTCGATTCCTTGTTCTGACTAGTTAGGTTCCCTGAAACACCCCTTTAAGTACCACCTTTTTGTGTCTTAGGTTGCTGAGGTACCACCCCTAGACCCTAAACCCTAAGCCCTCAAACCCTTGCCGGGCTGAGCCCGGGTCTTCATCGGCATTGTCAGCGGCTTAGTTTTAGGGTTTGGAGGTTTAGGGTTTAGGGGTAAAAACCAGAAGCCCTCAACCCTAAAGTTTAGGGTGCAGGGTTCAGGCTTTAGGGTGTTAATAGGTTTAACCGGGTTCAGGGGGAGTGGAGGTTGGGCAGGTGAACCAGTTTGGGCCTGCATACGCCTTTAGGGTCAGAATCCTTCGCTTGCCCTTCGGACGGGATTCCGATATTTTTGAACTTTAGGGTCAAGCCAAGAACAGCTATTGTGGGAGTCCCCCCTAAACCCTAAACCCGAAAAACCCTAAACCCAGAACCTAAACACATGCATCCTTTCCAGGAACCGATAAGCCTTACCAGGATTAATGCTGAAGGAAGTGGGCGACCCTAAACCCTAAACCCTAAACCCTAAACCCTAAACCCTAAACCCTAAACCCTAAACCCGGAACCCTAAACCCTAAACCCTAAACCCTAAACCCTAAACCCTAAACCCTGAACCCTAAACCCTGAACCCTTAAACCCCAAACCCTAAACCCCAAACCCCAAGCCCTCCATTAGTTCAAGCCTGAGATGCCCTAGTAAGCGAGGTGCCGCCACCAACACCCGGCAGCCAGCCACGGGTACTGCGTGCGGGAAGTCGCCTCGAGGCCAACAGTTTTGGGGCTTAGGGTTTAGGGTTTAGGGTTTAGGGTTTAGGGTTTAGGGTTTAGGGTTCAGAGAAAGGGGAGGGGGCATAAGCCATACGGAATATATTGTAGTGAGACACGCCCCGGAACAGACCCATCGCTTAGCTCAACAACCCCTTGAACCCTAAGCCCGAAGCCCTAACAGTTAAACCCCGAAAGCCCTACACCCCAAACCCTTCCAAGCCCCAAACACGAAACCCTCCTAAGCCCTGAACCCGAAACCTTCTAGGCCCTAAGCCCTAAGCCCTAAAGCATTAAAACCTCAAAGCCCTACAACCCTAAACCCTAAAAACCCTAAAGCCCACCCGACTCTTTAAAAGTTCCCCCAACCGGAGGCGACCACCGGCGGCATCAGCAATTCGCAAGGGTGGTCGCGACCCGAGGCCAGGGCGTGTTGCCCTAAGCCCTAAGCCCTAAACCCTAATCCCTAAATCCTTAACCCTAAACCCTTGTCAAAACACTGCGTTCGGGGTTTGGGGTTTAGATGGGTTCGGGCTTTTGAGTTTGGAGTTTGGGGGGGCCCTTTAAAACAAAAAGGGCACCCTTTCTACGCCAACTTGATGGTTCATGGTACTATAACTATATTGGGGCACTTAAGGGGCTGATAAGTGGGTTCTAAGTACAGTTCTACTTGGTTTCGTAAGTTCCCTAAACCCTAAACCTTAAACCATAAACCCTATACCCAGGTTCTAATTGGTTCATAAGTACCCTGAGTAGGTTACCCTGAGTAGGTTACTCTTGTGTGCCCTGTCTCTTCTGCCGCGCAGAGAGTACCCATTCGAATGTACCGGGCCAAGGCCTGAGCCCGGACACCCCGGACCCCAAACTCCAAAACCCCAAGCCCCAAAACCCCAAGCCCTAAACCCTAAACCCCAAACCCCTAAACCCTAAACCCCAAGCCCTAAACCCTAAACCCTAAACCCCAAACCCGAAACCCTAAACCCTTCTCTTGGGGCGGGCGCTGGTCCCGTTTCGCAGGCCACTGCCGCTGGCGCCAGCCCGAGCTTCGTCCAGGGGATGGAGAGAAGATGGCACAGGGGTTTAGGGTTTAGGGTTTAGGGTTTAGGGGTATAGGGTATCGGGTTTAGGGCTTGGGGCGGGGTTTAGGCTTTAGGGCTTGGGGTAGGGTTTAGGGTTTAGGGCTTGGGGTAGGGTTTAGGCTGAGGGTAACTATGACCCAGAGTAGGCCCTTGTTCCCTTTTTTGGGGTCTGGGTTCCTTAAACGCCCCTTTAAACCGAAAAGGGTACCCTTCTTGTTTCTAGGTTACTCTGTTGGCCCCTGAAGACCATGAACCCTCAGCATCCGATCTAAACCCCTGAAACCCTAAAGCAACCCTGAACCCTCACCCTTTCACCATAATTCTTAAAACCCGATAACCCTAAATCCGAAAGCCTATATCCCTGAACCCTTAAATCCCCTACACTCTATAACCCTAAACCCTAAACCCTACTGCACCCTGCGACCCTAAACCTTGGGGGATAGCTTTAAACCCTAGAGCCTTATAACCCTATAACCCTGAACCCTACACCCTACAATCCACAACCCTGAACCCTAAACCCTAAACCCCTAAACCCTAAACCCCTAAACCCTAAACCCCAAACCCTAAACCCTAACCCCTCAACCCTAAACCCTAGTCCCAAGCCCGAACTGTTTGCACCTGGTTCAGCAAGCCAGGGGTCCCCCCAAGCCCCAAGAATATCCACGTAAGCCTGACCTTCTTCCCCTTTCCTTCGAGGTTGTGGCTTTTCATGTAGGGTTTAGGGTTTAGACCCAGAGTAGGCCCTTAGTCCCTGTTTTAGGGATCAGGTTCCCATCTAAGCCCCTGTAAACCCAAAAGGGTGCCCTATGTCTTCCTAAGGTTGATCTGGAACCTAGACTACGACTTTTCTTGTTGCTCTTGTTGCTGCGACTAGTGCGATTACTCCTTGACCTGTTGCTAATATTTGTTTATTCCTTCCTTTCCCATTTGGACCATTATTGCTTTTGTTACTATCGCAACTATTAATAAATACTACTATCATTCTTGCTATTATCATTGTTTGTGGAGCATGGCGAGGCTGTTGTCGGGCAACGGCAGTGCAGCGCAGAGGGCTTCAGGGGTTAGCCTCCGAGGGAGCGTAGCCCGCATCCTGGCTTGAGAAACAGTTATTCCTACGGGCCTGAGGGGTTCTGATCCTAAGCCCTAAGCCCTACTCCAAGCTCCCCCCAAACCCTGTGGGATATATGTGTTTATGGGTTCGCCATGGAGGGCCTCTTGAAAGCTGCATGTAAGAAGCGGAAGCGCCCGACGCCAAGTCTGGCCAAGTCGGGCGAGCCGCCGGCGCGCGCCGAAGTTCCTGTCAGGAGTGCTTCGGAAGGCTCCCAGGTGGTGCGCTTGAACGTGGGGGGCCGTGAGTATGTAACCTCTCTCAGCACGTTGAGAAGAATCGAGGGCAGCATGCTGGCAACGATGTTTGCGAGCGGCATCCCTTCCACAACCACCGACGGCGCGTATTTTCTTGACCGTGATGGCGATCTCTTTGGCTTCGTCCTGTCCTACTTGCGAGACTTGCTGTTGGTGAGCAGGGAATGTTGGGAATGAGGTACCCTAGAAAATCCCCCTTAAAGGGTATCTATTTATATGTAATTAGGGCCGTAATTCGCTAACGGTAAGGAGATGGCTCTGTCGAGCTTCCCGGCTCATTCGACAAGCTGCGCCGTTTGGAGAGGGAGGCCGGCTTTTTCATTCTGCCAGGCCTACAGCACATGGTCCGTTCAAAGATTGCCGAGGTGCACCTGGAAGTGAAGGTCTTCTCAGAGCCCTTTGCGTGCGCGGAAGAGCAGTGCAACTGCGGATGCGGCGAGTTGGCACATCTCGATGAGTTTGATGATGGGGAGCTTGAGGCAATGGACGACTGGCTGCGACACCCCTCGAAGCAGATAAGGCCGGAGCTCAAGTCTCCGATTGTGATCGAGCGGTTGCAGCTACAGGCCTTCGTGCCTCGTGATGCCAATGAGGGTTGCGTGCGTGTCACGTCTTTCAAAGTTGACGACAAGCTCTCCGGTGACTACATGGCGGCGCCGGGTGCGTGCACTGATCGGAAGGTGTACAAGAACGAGAGCGGAGCCGTGATTTTCTACAGCGATGGCCGCTGGAGGGTCAATGCTGGAGGAGATGCCGACAGCTGGGTAGCTGCCTCGCTGGACGAGTCTAGCACGGACGCCAGGACCCCGAGTGGTACTGTTCGTTTTTCTCTCATTGTTCTTGTGAGTTCGGTTCCCTTAAAATTTCATTAAGCAATACTCCCGGCTCCCTTTCTATTCCTAACCCCCACCACAGCCCAACGCCATAAATTTTATGAAGTGTTGATAACATGACAGTACCAATCACATAACAACAGTAATACTTTAAATCCCTCCCCCCCCCAAGACATGAAGAAGCCCAGGACCAGCTCATAACGGGTCCCGCGGGTCAGTGTTGGTGGGGGCCAGATCCTGGACTATTCTTCGTTCATGGTGAGGACGTTCGCGGCCCGGAACGCTCCAGCCTGTTGCGGGCACTGGAGGCGACAAAGCAGATGCTGTTGCATGTGCCGATTTCGGTAGACGAGAGGCTCAAGATTCTGAAAGAGCTCGAGGATTGTTTTCGCGACTTTGTGAAGGAAGACAAGTTGTCGTACAGGATGCTACATGGTGCGTATGGCGCTTACAATGTGGGCGATTCATTCGACAAGAGGTCCCAGCGCCAACATTTCAGATGCTATGTTAGGATCGAGTGTCGGGCACTTAGCCTTTCACAGTGCGCATGCCCTTGTGCCTCGCGCGCCTGCTGAGCAAGGGCGAGCCTTTTAGACGGACCTTCGACTCGCGCCCGGAGAGTGCTGGTGCACTTACTTGCAGGTTCTGGGTACTCACAACCCCAATTATTACACAACCCCAGTTAGACCTGCACTCAGAATCCCCCTAAGTCCGTTCACTTAGCTTACAAGCAGACTTGTTATTCTAGGTAGGCCCTTGGGATATTTTATATTTTCCCTTATTGGGTTTAAGGGGATCATATTTAGGAATATTTTTCAGAGGGCTTTTAAGGGCCATCCTAGTATTGGATTTGTAATTGGGGGCTTTCAGTGCTCATGGACCTTGGGGTTGGGGCCCGCCACCTCCCGAAGCCAGAGCACCGAGTTGATCCGGTAAGCCCTAAACCCTAAACCCTAAACCCTAAACCCTAAACCCTAAACCCTAAACCCTAAACCCTAAACCCTAAACCCTAAACCCTAAACCCTAAACCCTCCACCCTGCACCCTAAACCCCTGAACCTTCAACCCTAAACCCTAAAGCCTGACCCCTCAATCCCTATCCCTAACCCTGAACCGTACACCGCCAGCTGCAATTCTGGGATGCCGTTCCCTGCCTTGGGGGAGGGTAGAGTAACCCTAAACCCTAAACCCTAAACCCTAAACCCTAAACCCTAAACCTTAAACCCTAAACCCTAAACCCTAAGCCCTAAGCCCTAAACCCTAAACCCTGAGGCCGCCCTGGTCTGACTCTTAAGTTGAGCTCGAGGTTGGTGGTTTGGTTTAGGGTTCAGGGTTCAGCGTTTAGGGTTTCGGGTTTAGGGTTTACGATTTGGGGTCTAGGGTTTAGTTTTGTTTGGGTTTAGGGTTTAGGGTTTAGGGCGTAGGAGTTAGGGTTCAGGGTTTCTAGAAGGGCCCTGAATTTCAAGCAGCCCGTTGAGGAGCGTAGAATGTTTAGGGGCTAAACCCTAAGCCCGAAGCCCGAAACCCTAAACCCTAAACCCTCAGCCCTAAACCCTAAACTCTCAGCCCTAAACCCTCAGCCCTAAACCCTAAACCCTCAGCCCTAAACCCTCAGCCCTAAACCCTAAACCCTCAGCCCTAAACTCTAAGCCCTAAACTTTAGGGGATACAGTAGGGCTTCGAAGGCTAGACCCTACACCCCCAACCCTAAACCCGAAATCCTCTGCTCACCGAAAGCCCGTGGAGCCAACTGCCAAGGTGCCGGCCAGGTCATGGTCGTCCGAACCCCTGGAGGGGTAGGGTTTAGGGTTTAGGGTTTCGGGTTTAGGGTTCTGGGTTTAGGGTTCTGGGTTTAGGGTTCAGGGTTCACGGTTTGGGGTATTTGGGCGGTTTTAGGCCCAGCTATCGCCTCAAGGGCGTCTCATTTTCTTAGTAGGTGAATGCATACACTTTAATTGCTACACTTTGAGATACTACAATCCCCTTTAGAACTGAAAGTGTACATTGTTTTGGGGGTTCTCAGCCGTGAGGCTTCATCAAGCCCCGCAGCGGGCGACCGCGCTTGGCACTGCCCAAACGACCGGCTGTGTTGCAAGAAACGGGAGAAGAGCCACAGGCCACTGGCTTGGTTCTGTTGCGGCCGGGCAGCTGCAACAGCTGCCTGCTGAGCTTCCAGAGGAACAAACTTACCATAGTTGTCGGCGCCTGAGGGTTGTTGGTTGGCAGTTTTGCAGCACGCCGTTTGTGTGCACAACGCGTTCACACTGTGCCGGGCTTCGCGACGCATACTCCTGCCCGGCTCTTGCGCTTGCGCTCATCTCTGCCCGCTGCATTCGGGCCCTGTGGCCCGCCCAGTCCGTACAGCAATTGCAGTTGCTGCGGCCATCAACAGCTGCGACGTTGGTCTGGCCGGATGCCCTTCTGTTCGTACATCTGTAAGCCGCAGCGCAGATTTGGATCGCTGCATCCTGCGGTATCCTGCGGTCCACCGCTGAGCACTTCGCGTATTCGCGGTTCGAATGCGAAAAATCTCGCGGAGGGTGTTTTTCGCCCGGGGCGTCAGGCTCCCGGCGGGCCCTGGTCCTGTCGCTTCTCCTGCAAAGAAGTCTTACTGTTCAGCTGCCAGGCAGCTTGCGTAGCGCATCAAACTTAAAACCCAAACCTTTTAAGCCCCTATGTCCGAATCCCTGAGCTGTAAGCCAAAAAACCCATAAGCCCAACTAACTGACCCGAAAACCCCGACCCCTAAAACCCCGCGCCAACCTTAACACTCATAAGCCATCAAAAACCCAAGCTCCTCAACCCTAAGCCCTAAACGGGCGAAGCCCTCCATAGGCCCTTGCAGCGCCCAACTCCTAGAACCCCTGGAGCCCGAAACCCTTGACTAGGATGCCCAGTAGTGCCCTTATTCCCTTTTTGGGGGCTCTAGGTTCCCTATAAACCCCATTAAGCAAAAAAGGGGCACCCTTTTTACTCCTAGGTTACTGGGCAACCTAGTTGAAGAGCTCGACCCTTAACCCGAAACCCCTTAACCCGAAACCCCCCCAACGTCCCTGAAGCCCTAAACTTCCCTACGCTTCCTCAAGCCTTGAACCCTAAAGCCTAGTTCCTAACCCAAAAACCCTAAACCCTAAACCCTGAACCCTAAACCCTAAATCCTAAACCCAACAGCCCTAAACCCTAAACCCTGAACCTCTCGCAGAAAGGCCCATGCTGCTGCGCCGCAGCAGCAGGCGGGCAGAGTCACCCGCACCTCTGCCCTGAAGCCCTCAACACGAATCCCTTGCCCCCAAGCCCTAAACCCTAAACCCCAAACCCCAAACCCCAAACCCCAAACCCCAAACCCCAAACCCCAAACCCCAAACCCCAAACCCTAAACTCTAAACCCTAAACCCTAAACCCTAAACCCCAAAGAGTTAAAAGTGGCGAAGGCTCCGGCCATGCAGCGAGCGCCCGATACACGACCAGGCCAGGGGGCACAAAAAGAAAAGGGTCGACAAAGGCAGTGGAACGATGGGGGTGTTTGTGGTTTAGGGTTTGGGGTTTAGGGTTTAGGGTTTGCTGTGATAGGGCGTAAATGCTGTGAAGGTTTGGTTTCGGAACAAGCTCGAAAGCTTCGTGAGGTGCCGAAGAGCAGCTTTGGCCCGATCGTGGAGGGCCATCTAACACTTTTCTCCCACCCCACGCCGTGCAAGGCGGCAAAGCCACCCAAACCTATTCCTTTTAGGGTTTAGGCCTAAACTCAGACAACAGTCCACTTTTAAAAACTTATTAAGTTTCATGACGTTCGTTGAATCCGAGAGTCAAAGGGTGCCAGCAAGGTCTCGAAGGCACCCCAGAGGCCTGGGGGCCAAAAAAGGGTTAGGCGGTCAGAAGTGGGCCAGGGGCAGGGCCCAGAGCACCTGCCAGGCCCCTGGTCCCTGCACGCGGTCCGGGTCCTCCTGGCCTGGTACCCCCCCCCAGCGCCGCTCAGGAACAGGTCTGGTCCCGACAGAACATGTTCCGGTACCGGGCCCATCGTGGGCGCTACCGACCCCCATGCTGTGGGAGGCGGGCGAGCGACCTGGGTCGGCTTGTGCCATCGAGGTGCAAAGAGCTTGAGCGCCGCCCCCCCCAACATAGGGGGGCGGCCCAGGCCCTGAGTTTAGGGTTGAATGTATACCTGCTTTAGTATGCTCCCCTCCCCCCTGAACAGTCGATCCTGTTTTTTGCTCTTTTTAATGCTCCATGGGATTTATATGAGTTAGAAGGCACCCAGAACGCCCGAAAAGACCCCACAAACCCTCAAAACCCAGAAGCCTTCAAAACCCCAAAAGACCCTCAAAAACGCATAAACCCCAAAAACCCAGAAGCCCTCAAAACCCCAAAAGACCCTAAAGGACTGAATTCCCTCGCTGCGGCTCAGGGACTGTGCCGATACCCAAGGCGCGAGCGTCCTTCGTCGTGACGCCGGGGCAGGCGACGGGAGGATTTAGGGTTTAGGGTTTAGGGTTTAGGGTTTAGGGTTAGGGTTTAGGGTGTAGGGTAGTAGGGTTCTATGATCTCGATGAGGGGACGATGGACGGAGGGAGGGGAGCGACAAAAGAGGCTGTTAAGGACAGGGGTTGGGTCGAGCTCAGGGTGCAGGGTCCAGGGTTCAGGGTTTGGGTTGGGACGGGTTTGGGGGTTTAGGGTTTAGGGTTTAGGGTTTAGGGTTTAGGGCTTAGGGTTTAGGGTTTAGGGTTTACGGTTTAGGGTTTAGGGTTTAGGGTAGGGCTTCGGGTTCAGGGCTTCAGAACAAGAGCTCCCTTCAGAGTTGGGGATCTTTATTGCAATTCGAGACGAAACCCTAAACCCCAAACCCCAAAACCTAAACCCCAAAGCCAAAACCCAAAACCCAAACCCTAAACCCTAAACCCTAAACCTCTCGCAGACAGGCCCATGGTGCTGCGCCGCAGCAGCAGGCGGGCAGAGTCACCCGCACCTCTGCCCTGAAGCCCTCAACACGTTCAGTCCCTAACCTTGCCCGAACCCCCAACGCCTAAACCAAAGAACCCTCAAGCCCTAGCGCCTGTGTTGCGGGCCACTCCGGCGCCCGCGACTCCGTCGAGTACTGCCGCCCGCAGGCTTGGGTCAAGGCTCAGGGCCTTGGGCTTAGGGTACTCAACTCGTGGTTTTGCTGTCTTGTCAGAGTCTCCGCGTGAGACAACGGGGCAAAGCGTTTGAGCCCTGAACCCAGAAGCCCCTCAACCCATCCGCCAATAAGCCTAAACAACCCCTAGACAGCTCAAAGCAACCCTAAGCAATCGAAAGCCACCGTAGCCAACCCTGACCAGCCCCAAGCCCTAAGCTCCCCAAACCCAAACCCTAAACCCTAAACAGCCTTAGCAAGCTTAAAAGAAACCCAGCAACCCTGACAAGCCGAAAAACACCCTAAACCCGCCTACCAACCCCAACAAGTCCCAAAACCCAAGACCCTTAAAACCCTAAACCCTAAACCCTTGTAAGGGCCCTACAAACCCTAAAAACCCCAAGCAAGCCCTGGCAGCCCGAAGACGCCCTGAGTCTCTCGCCAAAAAAACCGGGGAAGAACCCCT